CTATACGAAGTTATTACGCGTGAATAAATAATGGAAAAATCGAACCAGACTTTCTGCTTTTATACAGTGCATGGTTGCAGCTTGCGCTCTGGATTGAACAATTTCCCACAATAGCTCAACGCTTTGGAAAATTAGCACCGCTAGCTTCGGCAAAAACCGCGGTTAAACAGCAAACTGGATCATACCTGGATTTTGTCGCTCCAAACTTGGACTTGACGTAGTGAAGCCGAAGTATGCCGCGGATGAGCTTTCGCCAATTTCCCAACACACGTTCTTCTCGACGCTGAAAAATAACCTCTGTCTCTCGGCAGCATTGATTCTACTCCATGTGGAAGGAAAAGTATGGAATGTGGATTAGACTAGATGTGTAGCTTGACCAGGACTCTACCAGGCCACGTTCATGAAACGACTACTGAAACTTTGCAACTCACTGAGAGGGGGCACGAGTCGTGAGCTCAGGTTACGTCCCTCAATGGTGCATCCCAATCCAAATCTGCCATGCAGCCTTTTCTATCATATTTGTGACAATCCCACCAAAAAATAGTCTCTCCCTCCAATACTCGCACTGGGGGTTTTCCTCTTTTACCTTGTTTTTCAGAATACAGTACCACTAAAAATATGATCACCTTCCCTACCGAAATGCAAATGCGGTCTCTCATACTGAGAATTTCCAGTGAGCCCTACTTTTTCTGAAAGAGTACCTCAAGAGATTCATACTCAAATGGGACAGGCTAGCTTCAAAAAAGTCATATACATACAGGCTTATACACCACCTCTTCCATCAAAGCAATTGCCCACCTTGTTTTCCCGTTCTTCTTTAGTCGCTTGAAGTCGCTTATATTCCGTGATGAATTTTTCGGCGTCCTCTTCCAGAACGACAGCGCCATCTAATCTGAAAATAACTCCATGTAACCACTTCTTTGCTGAAAAGACTTTAAAAATCAGATTCGAATCACCAACATGGGAAAGTTCGTGCATGAATTGAAATCCCATCCGACCACTGCTGGCACGCATTCCAGCCCTCCCAAACGGCGAGCTATGGATGGTAAACCAGGAAGGCGAAGAAAAACTGCCCCAATTGGACACATAGATGGTACGTACATGTACACATTGCCGAACTCATTACGTGGAATACGGCCCTGAATTATACAGTTTACCCAAGCAGGCTTGCGCTTGATCGCAGTTACTGAAATTCTTTTGAGCAAGTCCAAGATCAACGTCTGGTAAATGCGTCATCAGAAACAGTAACAAATAATAAAAGAAAACTGACATTAACCACTTTCGGTGGTCGAAACGGCTCCGTCTGCCAATATCCGAACAAATCCAGAAATCTTGGTTCACGCTCTTCAGCAGGAACATGTAAATTAGGACGAGCTTTCACCACTTTATATGCCTTCTCTCCTTCCTTGAAAAAAAATATCATTCGATAACAGAAAACCATTACGCTTTGAGCTCCACCTTCACACTCCTAGCCAATTTTGTCCAATTGAGGGCACTCTGGAGTGTGTACACAGTATTTCGTGGATATACTTTGTGACCTCGAACTTCACCCAGAGGCTTTTGATCTTCTGGTCTTGGATAAATACCTTCGAATTTCAGCAGATCCTTTTCCAGAACATATCTGTCAAAATGAAGGTTGGTATAGTCCTTCACACAGCACCTACATTCCACTTACAAAGGATGGTTCTTGTACTCCGATAAGGTGACAGGTAGTGGTTTATTGACGAGTTCTTGCCGGAGTTGGACGTCCTCCAGTTGTCCTCTCTTTCGATCCGCCCTAATCATCTGAAAGTGTCCCTTTCATACAAGCTTTATCAGTCGCATCTTCACAAAATTCTTAGCCTATAAAATATACTGTTGAGAAAAAAGCTTTTTTTGGATAAACGTGAACAAAGACAAGTAATTTTGAACTTCAACATTCTACAGAAGAATGACGGACTCACGCTCTTCCTGAGAGTACTGGAAAGCCAATTCTGATCAGTTCGACGTCGACGAAAATCAGGATGTGAAAAGGCGGCAGCATACCGAGCTGTCACTTCACGGACACCACCCTCTGCAATATCAAAACTGAGAATGTCCCATTCTTCGCTGCACATTTGGCTAACCATTACATGACTAGAGCGTCCCCTATACCATAAACTTTTACTGAAGAACAAGGTGAAACTAACCATTATCAATGGCCAACACATAAACGACAGGTTTCGTCATATTCTCTTCAAAGGAATTTGGGTCATCAACAGACGCCAGAAGTGGATCGACGCCTAAATCGACAATCTGGTATCCATCCGCGACCTTTCAAGTATTAGTAGAAACTCACATATCCATTTATTCTGTTTTTTGTCCCAGTATTCAACCCAGTAATTACGAATCATCCCACGGTGATCGCCTGCGGCTGAGCCTTTTTTCTTCGAGCTCTCTTTAGCCTTCGGTTTCTTTTTCGATGACGTAGAGGCAGTGGCAGAACTGGCAGGAACAGAACTTTCTTTTCTCATCTTTGCAACTTCTTTTAGAACACTCTGAATACCATATTTACCTGTGAAACCAATAAACAGCCTAAAGCGGACTTACCGTATCCCATTTCCTTGGAATTGTTTGAGTGTTGACACAAATGCGCGCTACACATTCCATAGAAACGAAAAGGGCAAAAAGAAGCTGAAAATTTATTTGTATGCCGAAAATGAAGTACTTCGAAAGCACTTTCTATGTAACACTCTTAATCAATTCTTCTTGACTACAGTGTTTAAAAAATGCCCCCAAGGTTTTTTGCTATACAGTCTATTCCTGCAGGAACGGCGATTAACTTACGGCTGCACGGTCGGCATCATTTTCAAACTCTTGCCGTGAGACCATCTCAGAGTAGCGCGCAGTGGCGTCGAATCGGCACAGCCCTGGTTCAAACGTTATAGGAGCTCCAGATGGCTGAACATGCACTTCAAAATATCAAGCCGTAGAAAAAAAACTGCTCAACTAGACTGATTTTCGTAAAAGCGACTTGCAAGCAGTATCAACCGAGAAATAGATTTGGTTTTCTTACCTTGAAGGCGCTGTGGAAATATTTGACGATTCTTCGAGCGTTTTCCACCGTCATAGTCTCGCCCACTAGTGCCTGGTACCCAGAGGGCATCTGTGATAAAAAGATTTCTATTCTCTAAGCACACGAATTGGACAAAAATCGTAGCACTCACCATGGTGAGCATAAGCGAAGGAATAAGGCTTTCCTCTAGGATACCTTTCTCAAAAATTGAAGATGGGCAATATAGCAAAGAATATTGACCTACAACAGAGCAACCATTACAAGATTTTGTGATTCGTCAATTCGGTCAGGCTCCTGATAATTTCAAACGTAAATAAATTCTAGGAACAAACCTTGTGGCAATTTTCCCAGTTTTCACGAACGCATTTGTTCACTTCTTGACGAAGATAGAGTCCCCACCAGTTCTTTTCCTCAGCTTTATTGAGTGTTATTTGTACATGCTGCAAAATTGCGCATCAATGAATCAGAAGCGTTTGCAAAATGGATGAAAGGATAACAACCTTTCCCTTGGCTTCATCAGCGTCAGCAGGGACCATGTCCTCCCATTCATCCTCAGAGGAAGACGCTAAAAAGGTGGAAAACTTCGAATTCGATAGCATGTAACGATTTTATATAAAGTAACTGCTTGACCGCTGATTCTATGCAAGACACTTACCACCCTCTTCGGGATCCTTCATATTTTCAGAAGACGGTACAGCTGTAGCTTTTGAAACGCACTTGGAATTCATTCCATCCACAATTCGATCACCTTCTTCCTGTGTCATCTCCAGCTTCCTACCAACGGCCAGCGCCGCAGCAAGAATCCTTAAATTGTAGCAATCAAGAAGAGGGCTACATTGGGTCAAAAATGAGGATGTAATCGCGAAGAAGATAACTTTTGAATTTTAGAAGTTTGGGGAGGGGTGATACGGTACAGATCCTGCTAATGTAGCAAAAAGCATTATAAAGATTATAAAAATTTCTGACTAACTAGACTTTAAGCTTTCGCTTTGATAAAACACTTGATCCGGTTCAAGGAACAATTCACAAGCAAACTTTCAACTCAGGTGTAAAAAAGAAAAAGGAGCGAGAGCGCTTCAAAAACCACGACGACTCATATAAAGAATTCGGGTACGAAGTTGCTAACAAAGGAGTAATTAAATTTAACACAGCGCTTCTATTCCCCACTCACTCCGCTTACTTTTTTTAGACATACTGAAAGGCCAAAAAGAGACCAGCAGACAAAAACCAGGCTCTCAAAGATCAACGAAGCTCCGTGCTTTAAGATTAATAGCGAAATATAAGTTTGTGCATTCGTTTTAAGCTTCTTGAAAGTAAACAATGCGCTCGACTCTAGTAAAAACTAAATGGAATTGTGGTTTGTACCTGAACTTCGCCATTTTTCTCTCGCCACGCCTCAATGCTCTTGGAGGTACGACAATGTCACCCAATGTGACAGGTTCATTCACTTTTTGCCACGGTTTCAGTGGTTTGGAAGAAGTCGGGCGCGAAGCTTGGGTTTTCGTTGGAGCGTTCGACACTGGAAGCAGCGAAGAGAGGAATACTTCGCTGAAAAAGGAAAAGAGGCAAAACACAACTAAGTACCTCCACCTCCTTTCGTTGATTTTGCTGAGGACGAAACATGCGACTTCCTGGAATAAGTCGTGACCACAATTAAACGGTAAAAATTGCAATCCAAATAAACTGGCTAGGCTACATGCAAAAGATGGCGTGGCAGTGCTGAAACCCATTTCTGTTGCAAGCTACATACGTTAGCGACATCGGCATTTTGGCGTTCTTGACCACGAGAGCGGACCCAGATGACCGCGAGACCCGGTGCGATTTTGCAAGTCAGGCCGGCTCACGCACCGCACCGAAAAAACCCTGCGAACCTCATCGCTATTCACGAAAGCGGTCCCAGATGTGGAAAGAATTCAGGAATTATAGATTCAGAGCTAAGGTCATGAGCCCGGTCCCAATCAAGGATAATCATAAGATGCTTGATATGTATCCAATCAAAAAAACCATTACGAAAAGCACGACGAATACGTGTTTATTGAGCGTACGGTCGCGAAAACGCGACAGTGCGATATTCAAACGCTTATTCATACTTGATTTTTCCTCAATGGTCCTGCCGCGATGGCTAGAGCACAGACGATTAGAACGGGTGAATGCCCTAGGACTAAGCCTTGGAGAGGAGAGGGACCCGCGAGAGAGCGCAGAGGCGGTTTAAAGGGCTGAGTTCAAGTAGTCCGTGGACCCTCCGGGGTGGGGAGCCAATTACAATCTTGCAGAAGTTGTGAGGGCGCAGGCATAGTCGGTCGTCCGACCGTAACGATCGCAACGGTCGCACAGCGTTAGATATACGTATCGATCGTCGAATACTCAGGCAAGGCTGACGATCGATACGCATCCAATGCGGTGCGACCGTTCCTAACGCTAGGACCGACTATGCATGCACCCTGGGTGCGTGAGATCAGTAGTCATGACCCACTGCTCAGGCGAGAGGGTCCTGAGGGAGCATCAAGTGGAAGCGGCTTGAAAACCGAGTTCAAGTAATCCGTAAACGCTGTAACCAGGAAAGTTAAACCATGACATGCAGTTCAGATTTCCGCCATAGCGCCGCTGAAACGGTACACCATGCAATTCCAAGAAATATTGGGCAAACCGTTCTGTCTTCGAACTTCTCGCTTGTGGTCGACTGCTACCTCCGCCTTTTCCTCCGCTGCCTCGTTTTGGTTGCTGAGCTTTGGATGGAGTGAAGCTCGCGTCGCTATCATCTGGATCTTCGGCAACCGAAGAGGCTTCAGTTTCAGTGTCAGGCTGAACTCGTGGATTATCACTACTTGAAACCTATTAATGGAATCGCCATCTATACCTCTGTCGAAGTTGTCGCTAGGCCTACACCTTCGCTTTCACTATCCGATGCAGACGGTGACGAACTCAACGAGTCCTCCCCGTCGTCATCTTTTACCACATAACTCTTGCGGACCACATTTCGCCCACTACGACGAACAAATGGGTCTGTAAAGGCTATTTGAAAAATTTCATTCAATGAGT